CTCAGGGTTCTCATCAAGACCCACCTTGGTGTGAAATACTTTGTGGGGTCTCAGTTCCTGTCTCTGGACATCACGCTCCCGGGGCTTATGCAACATGTGGGGTCACTCACTCCTTAGACTGGGTGGTCACAGACAGTCACCATTTCTTGCTAGTCAGTACTGATTGTGATGATATTCATGTTTCAGAGCACTGACTGCATGCTAGGAAAAGTGCAAAGTCACATGTTTCATCTCATCTAACTCTCAGATAACCCTGAAGGAGGGGCTTTATTACTTTCCCGTTTCACAGATGAGAAAACTGAGGCTCGGGCAGGTTAGGTAATGTGTTCAAAGTCACACAGCTAGTTAGTGAAGTGTCAATCACCCCATTTCTGGCCAATTCCAAGGCATAAGATATTCATCTCTCCCCAATATAATTTCCTACATGCAGTATATAATCCCATGGATTGCAGCAGATTGTATGTTCCAAAGACAGTGGAGATAATTCCTATCCTCCTAACTCTAACTCTCCTCTCCGTGAATCTGAGGGGGCATGTGTAGTAGCCGCGCAGGTCACTGCTCAGATCTCCCTCAAGAAAGAACTCAGTGTTCAGCTACAAGGAAGACTGTAGCCAATGCTTGAAACTGTTAGCGCCTGCACTGCACACTTCAGCTTTCGAGCCAAGGCCACACTCTTCCTGGGCGGCCCTGCCCATGGCTCAGCAGGGCAGAGGTCCAGGGCTTGGTGTTTCCCCACACGGGGAAACACCCAGCAGAAAACCTTCCGTCCTGAGTCGGGGGAGGCGGGGTTGGCCCCAGCTGTCCCATGTGCACCAGCCTCAGCGGCTCTTCCTGCCCCATCCTGCACACTCCCACCCTCTTCCCTTCAAAGGTGTCAGAGCTACACTGTGGTCTGAAGCCTTTCCCGGCCCCATTCTGCCTCCTCCCGCTCTCTCTCAGATGCTACCCACGGCAGACCTCCTGTACTCTGAGCTCCATCCCAGTGGCTGCTAGCCAGAGGACTCATCTGACACAGCGGAGTGCTGTCAGAAGAATGTGGTGGAAGCGTTGCTGCGTGATTTCCAAGACTGGGGCATAAAAGGCCAGGCAGCCTCCTCGTTGTTCACAGGAACGCTCGCTCTTGGAGCCTTCAGCGGCCATGTTGTGAGGAAGCCCAAGCCAGCCCACGTGGAGACACCACGTGGAGAAGCGCCGAGATGACATGAAAGGGGTGGGGGAGAGAAAGAGGGAGTGGGAGAGAGAGGAAGGGAGAGGAGTGGAGAGGGAGGGGACGGGGAAGGGAGGCGGGGCAGACAGCAGAGAGATCCGCGTGCTTGGCCAGCCACCATTTACTCCGATCTCCTGCTGTTCTTGGCGGAGGAAATGGCAATCCCTCCAGTATTCTTGCCTGGGAAATCCCACGGACAGAGGCTGTTGTCCATTGGGTCGCAGAGTCGGACACGACTGAAGTGACAGCACACCTGCTGTTCTAGTTCTAGCCATCACTACATTAAAACCATACAAGAGCCACCTGCCCAGACAAGCCCTTCCCCAGTTCCTGACCCACTCAGACAGCAAGGGGCAAAATGCCATTGGTGGTTTCAAGCCACAAAGTTTTGACATTTGTTACGCAGCAACAGATAACTGGTATGAGCACTCTGTGGACAGAAGTGTGTGAGACTGAGGCCTGTCACTTTCCAGAATACTTAAGCACCTTTGCTGCTGACAGCTTGGCACATTGTAGGTGTTCAGCACACATCTGTTACTGCTTTGCATGTTCAATAAGATTATAAATATGGACTAGATCCGAGCTGCCTAGAAATACATGTGTAGCTTTGAAAACATTTCCTTTCTAATTAAATTGTGGTAAGGATTTCATTCTAAGATGCCCTCCAAACATTTGTTAATTAGAGAAACAGAAGATGCTTCAGAGAATTGGGATTAAATGATGAGACTGAGACTCAGAATTATGAAACTTCTAATGTCAAACAAGCAGAACCTGACCAACGTCTCTATGCAGATGAATGCAACTGAAATAGGAAAGAAAAGTTGTTCTTGGGTATGGCCCATCCCAAATCCTGACATAGGCTGTGATATCTTTAAAAAGGTTGGGACAAAAAGAAGGGAAAAGAGGAGAAAGAAATAGGCATGATATAGTGGAAAGTTCTGGGCCCAGGAACACATGGTTTCAGACACTTGTGGTTTGTCTGGTTTCAGGGAAATTCTTAACCTTAACTGGGTTTGGTTTTCTCATCTGTAAGTGGGGAATAAAAACAGCAATCCCTCCCTTAATGGAAAGTTGTGGGAATTCAATGAGATATGCATGTGAAGAGATATGTTGCCCATAAAGTACTTTACACACGGAAGCTTTGCTCAGTTAAAACTACTAAGAGGAGATATTTGTCTTCCTGTTGTAAGGATCACTTGTCAGGTAGCTTAGGAAACAGATACTGTAGTAAAACATGAAGGTTTCTGAGCTGGACACATCTGGGTTTAAATCCCATCTTCACTGATGTAAATGTAACGTGGTTGGTAAACCTGTTGGCAGAATCTGCTAGAGCTGAATGACCCGGAAATTCCCTCCTAGGCATGTACCAAACAGAAGTGCTCAGCGTGTTCACCAAAAGGCACATCCTATAATGTGCACTGCAGCCTGGCAGTTTAAAAGCCCAGACCTGGATGCGACCCAAGCGTACATTGTATTTGCCTTCTCCTGCTGCATAATGAATGGCCACAAAATTAGTGGCTCAAAACAACATACATTATTGATCCACAGCTTCTGTGAGTCAGGAATTTGGGCTTTGCTTCAGAATCTCAGAAAGCTCAGTCAGGTATCTGCTGGGCAGTGATCTCATTCCAAGGTTCGACTGCGGAAGGGTTTACGTCTGAGCTCAAGGGCTTCCAATGTGGTCATTGACAGAGTTTAGATCTTAGTGGCCGAAACCTTGAGGCTTCAGTTTCTCACGGGCTGTCGGCTGGAGGGTATCCTCAGATCCTTGTCACACGGGCCTCGCAGAGCCAGCAAGAGACAGAGTCTCCTTGCAAAATGGCAGTCACCATCCCACATAACCTACAGATGTGAGGGAAGTCTTGTATTCTATTGGTTACAACTGAGTCAGAGAATTGAAGTCTTCCAACTGTGGTGCTGGAGAAGACTCCTGAAAGTCCCTTGGATAGCAAGGAGATCAAACCGGTCAATCTTAAGGGAAATCAACCCTGAACACTTGTTGGAAGGACTGATGCTGAAGCTGAAGCTCCAGTATTTTGGTCATCTGATGTGAACAGCCGACTCATTGGAAAAGTCTCTGATGCTGGGAAAGATTGAGGGCAGAAGGATAAAGGGGCATCATAGGAGGAGATGATTGTGTGGCATCACTGATGCAATGGACATGAACTTGGGTAAACTCAGGAGATGGTGAGGGACAGGGAGGCCTGGCCTGTTGCAATCCATGGGGTCACAAAGAGTTGGACATGACTGGGCGCCTGAACAACTACAACAACAACAATTGAGTCAGATATCCTGCCCACTATTAAGCGGAGGGGGTTAGAGTCTGTCCATCACTCCTATCAACAGCAGAATGGATACACGAAGCGTGAAATGTAATACAGTGGGGTACTCTACTGCAATGAGAATGAGCAAATTCTGCCTCATGCAACAATATGGAGAAATATCTAAACACTGTATGGAGTGAAAGACGCCAGACACCAATGAGTGATGGTGAAACAGGAAGGAAGGGGGCATAGAGCCATTGAGCATATGACAGAAAACTGATTAGAACAGACTAGGCACAGGGTAGTGGAAGATTCGCTTTCCAGGGGACTTTGAGCCTCATTGTATGCTCATTGTAACACATCAGCTAAATGACATACTCACAGGCATCGGGACAGTTCCAGGGCCCGTCTGTAAAGGGCCAAAAAGTAGGTGGTAGCCCAAATTCCTGGAAATCGCCACCCCTTCCCCCCATAGTTGGAATAATCCTCCCACTCATTAGCTTATGAAATTACTCAACCCATAAAAACTAGCCACCCCATATTTCAGGGCCTCTCATTCTCCAAGATGGCCCATTCTCTGTCTGTGGAGTGTTTGTCTCTATTGCTTATCGCTCACTTTGTCTCTCACTGAATTCTCTCTACAGTGAGACATCAGGAACCTGAGCTTCAGTAGGTCTTGAGACCAGGTGTGATCTCAGTTAAAAGACTGTGGGTTCAGGTCCCATCTGAGTTGTGTGGTTTAGATTGCATTGTGTAAAGTTCAGTAACTGTCAAAACCAACCACTCTTGTCAGAAGCGAGGATAGCGGTCACCTGGGAATGTGGGAAGATGGATGATTGGGATGAGATGTGCTTGGGGCTTTGGTGGTGGTAGTGGGGGTCATGTTGTTTCTCGGCCTGGACGCGGGCTGCAGGGGTGAGGTCATGGGCATGGAGCATGTTCATGGCGATGTGTCCCCTCCCCTGCCTGGACCATGCCTCCCCACTTGTCAGATGGCCAGCTCCATCACAGCCTTTAATCTCCCAGAGGCCCACTCTTATCAAAACCACCTCCTTGAAGCCTTTCGTTTCCACCATAGCACACCTATCACAAATACGCAGTTATGCTATTGATTTATTTTCAATTTGACTTTTGTCTCTCTCTCCCCCACTCGGACGTCGGCTCCACAAAGCAGGGACCACACGTATCTTGGCTTTCTGCTGCAAGCCAGGATCACAGTATTCTAGTGGCATTTGTTGGCAACATGCAGTCCTCTTCCAGTTCACGTGTCCCATGAGGGACACACCAGCAGAGGCTGAGTGGCATCTCTGAGCCATTTCCAGATGCTGAAGCCTGGGAGCAGCCCTCATTCCATCAGCCATGACCAGACGAGCTGGGCCACGAAGCACTGGTTTCCGAAAACAGTGCAAGGAGATATAGAAATGGCTCCAAGGACATCTCCCCCAAACCTCCCATTACACGTTTCTTTATCTTCTGAGCCTGAGCCAACCCCTTGCGTCCCTTTTCAGATTGGGCTTCTTGGGACAAACCGGCATTGCTCTGTGTGTCTTCTCCCGCCAGGAGGCGGTGACAGGTGGCCGGTACCCAGCTCGTCTGCACAGGATGCCGCAGCAAGGACTCTGCTCCGCGCTCTCCCAGCACCTGGCTGTGTGCATGAAAGGGGAGCGCTGTCACCATGGGACGGGACATCAGTTTTCTGAGTCGATATCCTTCCTGACAGATGAAGGGCAAAGAGAAACAAATCTGCTCCTTGAGCTGAAAGTTTCATTCCAGCTGTAGACTTTGCCAAAACGGGATGAGAAATGGCAGGAGTGAAAAAGCAAAGCAAGCGAATGAACAATAGTGGACATTCTCTTTTCGCAGCATCACCCTCTGTGTTTTCAGCTGCCAAGCACAGGGCTGCCCTAACCCAGGGCATTGATTCAGTCACAGAAATGCTGGTGTGCAGCCACCAGAGGGATCGTTCTGAAGTTCTACGTGACTCCATCGCTCTCCTGCTCAGAGCCTGTCAACACTCTCAGTTGCACAAAACAGATTTTTCAGCACCGGTTCGGAGTTACGGCATTTGCGGTTTGGAGCAGTTGCAAGTTGTATTCCAAATCACGTGTTACCATGAAAAGTTAAATCATGCCTGTTTTCATATGACTTACAAACATTTTTTTTTTTAAATTAGGAATTTCTGAAAGGTCTCTATAAGAATGTTTACAGGGTTTCACTGGTAGCTCAGTGGTAAAGAATCTGGACCAATGCAGGAGACAAGGGTTGGAGCCCTGATCCAGGAAGATTCCACGGACTACAGAGCAACTAAGCCTGCATGCCACAACTACTGAGCCAGTGCTCTAAAGCCCGGGAGCCGCAACTGGTGAGCCCACATGCCATAGCTACTGAAGCCCGCACGCCCTAGAGCCCGTGCTCCACAACGAGAGAAGCCGCTGCAGGGAGAAGCATGCACACCACGGCTAAAGAGCAGCCCCTGCTTGCCATGAGAGCCAGCGCAGCTAAAAATAAATCAATAAAATTATATATACATATATAGAAGAGTGTTTCTAATAGCACAAACTCTAAATAGCCCAAGTATTAATCAGCATGGGAGTGATAAACTGCAATCTATTCATACAATGCAGGTCCTACTCAGCACCGAAAATAAAAAGAACATGTTACAGGGGCCTCCCTGGTGGCGCAGTGGGAAAGAATCCACCTGACAATGTAGGAGACACGGGTTTGAATCCTGCTCCAGGAAGATCCCACATGCCTTGGGGCAACTAAGCCCATGGGCCATAACTACTGAGCCTGCGCTCTGGAGCCCAGGAGCCCCAACTGCTGCAGCCTGAGATCCCTCAAGCCTGTGCTCCGCAATGAGAGGCCATCACAATGGGAAGCCTGCGCACAGAAACTAGAGAAAAGCCCGTGCAGCAGTGAAGACACAGAACAGCCAAGAATAACTTCAAAAATAAATAAAATTTTAAAAAGTTACAAATCAATGGGTAAAAAAACCCAGACACAATGACTGTGTGATGAATATTCCATTTATATCAATGAAATAAATGAAATATCAGGAAGAACTAATCGATGGCAACAGAAGTCAGAACAGAGTTCACAGCAGTGATGGTGGGGTGTGTGTGTCTGTATTCCCTGGGACGGGAGTCTTCTCAGATGTCAGAAAAGCTCTGTATTTTTATTGGAGTGGATTACACAGATGTGTGTGGAGAAACTATAGATTGTAGATTTAAGCTTCAAGCATTGTAGCTCTGTAGAAACAGCAGGATTGCACTGACCCGCATATTAATCATCATGTCACTCTCAGTTGCATTCTGAGACACTTTTGGGGGGATGAGGAGAAGAAGGGGTGATGTGTTCAGAGTGAGTCTGGGATGTGGGGCATCTGCCCAGGCTGCAGTGCCTGTGGGGATGCTGCCTGCCCCACTGCTGAACATCTGGAACCTCTGACCTAGAGAAAGCCCTCTGTGGCCTGGCCACTTCCCAGGACCGCAACGCCACCACCTCCAGCTCCCCAAACACTCCCTGAGGTTTGTGATTTCCAGAACCATAGGGGAATACATTTCTGTTTTTTAAAATCACAGCTTCCCTGCTGGCTTAGATGGTAAAGAATCTGCCTGCCATGCAGGAGACCTGGGTTTGATCCCTGGGTTGGGATGATCTCCTGGAGAAGGGACTGGCAACCCACTCCAGTATTCTTGCCTGGAGAATCCCATGGACAGAGGAGCCTGGTGGGCTACAGTCCAAGGGGTTACAAAGGTCGGACACGACTGAGTGACTAACACACACAAGTCTGTGGTAATTTGTTACAGAAGCCTTAGGAAACTGATACAATTATTATTATTATTTTTCATATGTCCTCTTTTTTTTTTTTTTTGGTCTTCCTTCAAGAAGACCAATGTCAAGAAGCTTTTCCCTCATGTTTTCATATAGGACTATTACAGTCTCAGGTGTTACATTCAGGTCTTTGATCCATTTCGTGTTGCTCTTTATGGATGGAGATCCTCTTGATTCCTTAGATGTGACACTAAAAGGACAGGCAGCCAAAGCATATATAGACAAGCGGGGCTACATCAAACTGAAGGCTTCTGCCCAGCAAAAGAAGCGACAGAGCGAAGAGCCAACTTATGGAGCGGGAGAGGATAGCTGCAAAACCAAATGCTCGAAAGGGGGTTAATATAAAAAAAAATGTATAAGAAATGCCTACAACTCTACAAAAAAACCAAATAACATGATTAAAAAATCGTCAAAGGGGACTTCCCTGGTGGTCCAGGGGTTAAGACTTCGCCTTCTAATGCAGGGAGTGCAAGCTCCAGAGCTGGTCAGAGAGCTCTGATCAGAGAGAGCCAGGATCCCACTTGCCTTGTGGCCAAAGCATGAAACAGAAGCAATATTGTAACAAAATCAACAAAGACTTTAAAAAAATGGTCAAAGGACCTGAAGAGACATTACTCCAAAGAAGACATACACATGGCCAACAGACATATGGAAAGGTACTCAGCATCACAAATCATCAGGGAAATGCAAATCAAAACCACGGTGAGATACCATCTCACACCACCCAGGATGGCTGTGGTCAAAGACAAGCGATACCAAGCACTGGTGAGGATAAGGGGAAACTAGAGCCCATTTGACTGTCGGTGGGAATGCAGCTGCTCTGGAAAATAGCACAGAAGTCCCTTAAAAAGTTAAAAATAGGATTACCATTTAATCCAGCAAGTTTACTTTTGGGTATTTTTCCAAAATTATTGAAATCATCAACAGAGGAATGGATAAAGGAGACATGGTACATATATATGATGGAATATTACTCAGCCATAAAAAGGAACAAGATAACGCCATTCACAGCAACACAAAAGGACCTAGAAACTGTCCAAGTGAAGTCAGACAGACATGGAAAGACGGATGTCACATCGTATTGCTTATGTGAACTTATTTACAATGCAGAGGTAGACTCACAGATACAGAAAACCACCTTGTGGTTATCGGGGATAAACTGGGAGATTGGGAGTGACATGTACACACCACTGTATATAAAACAGGTAACTAATAAGGACCTGCTGCATAGCACAGGGGACTCTATTCAATACTCTAATGACCTATCTGGGAGGAGAATCTTAAAAAAAAAAGGAGAGGATATATGTATACATGTAATTGATTCACTTTGCTGTATACGTGAAACTAATACAACATTGTAAATCAACTATACTCCAATAACATTTAAAAAAAATTGACTGAAATGAGGGTCTGGAAGAGACATCTGTGCTCCCATGTTCACTGCAGCATTATTCATAAAAGCCACGCTATGGAAACAATCCCAACCTCTGCGGACCGATGACTGGATGAAGAAGATGTGTACACATACGATGGAATATATTCAACCTTAAAAAGGAAGGAAACCCTGCCACTTGGAACAATGTGGATGGACCTGGAGGACGTTATATATGTTAGTCGCTCAGTCGTGTCCGACTCTTTGCGACCCCATGGACTGTAGCCCGCCAGGCTCCTCTGTCCATGGGATTCTCCAGGGAAGAATACTGGAGTGGGTAGCCATTCCCTTCTTCAGGGGATATTCCCAACCCAGGGATCAAACCCAGGTCTCCTGCATTGCAGATGGACTCTTTACCACTGAGCCACCAGGAGGACATTATGCTGCGTTAAATAAGCCAGACACAGAAGGATAAATTCTTCATGATTCTGTTTATATGAGGCATCTAAAACAATCAAACTCACAGAAGCAGGAAATAGACTGATGGTTCCCAGGGACTGAGGGGTGAAGGAAATGGGAAGTTGCTGGAAAATGAAAGTTTCAATTGATTTAAAGTCTCAGTTATGCAAGACAAGAACGTTCTAGAGACTTAGTGCAGGATACAGTGCCTACGGTTAACAAGATTGTATTGTGCATTTAAACAGGGTAGGTCTCATGCTAAGTGTTCTTACTGTAACCCAGCAGGACCCTTCGAGGCCTTCCCAGAACAGACCCCCACCATGTCCTCCACCTGCCTTTAGTCTGTAGAAAAACTTTAGTCAGAGAATAAATATAACTGGAGAAGTGAGAAAATGCAGAAAGCAAGACAAAAGAACAATACTTTAGCCATTAAACACAGTCAAGGGCCTTTAGCTCTTCCTCAAGGACTAGAGATAATATTCTGAGCCATGTCCTTTGAGCTGTTTTGCAGATACTGAAACCCCCACCAGGTGGGAGAAGTTGCCTGCATGCTGCCCACAAGCATGTAGACCCCAGGAGAAGGTTGATGATGCTGACTCCTGATTCCCTCACCACCAACCAATCAGAAGTGTCCACGAGTTGACCACACCCTGCTCTTTGACTTGATAAGGCTCCTCACTGGCCCCTCCAGGGGAGACACACAGTCTTGAGGGCATTAGCCTGCCCCTTTGCCTGGAAAAGCCACAAAGCCATTCTTTTCCACTTCACCCAAAACTGTCTCTGCATTTCTGTTCGACATCAGTGAACAGAGGCCGAGTTTCACCAACATCACCATGAAAAAAAGAAGAAAAAGAAAGAGGTTACAAGGAAATATTTGGAGGTGATGGATATGCTTATTACTCAGATTGCACTGATCATTTCACAGGTGTATGTATGTGTCCAAATTCATCAAAATGTGTGCATTAAATATGTGCAGTTTTTAATATATCAATTATACCCTAATAAAGCTGATATGAGAAGATACAGGTTTCTTGGGCTTGAGAAACTG